ACCCCACTGGGGACAAGGACCCTGAGGAGGGGGACAGGGACTGGAGGAGGCTCTGAAGGGGACACGGGGACCCCAGTGGGGACAGGGACAAGGAGAGGGGTGACAGGGACTGGGGGGGACATGGGGACCCCCGTGGGGACAGGGACAAGCAAGAGGGTGACAGGGACAGGAGGGGGACCCCAGTGGGGACAAGGACCCTGAGGGGGGTGACAGGGACAGGAGGGGACACAAGGATCCCAGTGGGGACAGGGACACTGAGGGAGGTGACAGGGACTGGAGGGGACGCATGGACCCCAATGGGGACAGGGACACTGAGGGAGGTGACAGGACTTGGGGGGGAACCCCACTGGGGACAAGGACCCGGAGGGAGGTGACAGGACTTGGGGGGGAACCCCACTGGGGACAAGGACCCGGAGGGAGGTGACAGGACTTGGGGGGGAACCCCACTGGGGACAAGGACCCGGAGGGAGGTGACAGGACTTGGGGGGGAACCCCACTGGGGACAAGGACCCGGAGGGAGGTGACAGGACTTGGGGGGGAACCCCACTGGGGACAAGGACCCGGAGGGAGGTGACAGGACTTGGGGGGGAACCCCACTGGGGACAAGGACCCGGAGGGAGGTGACAGGACTTGGGGGGGAACCCCACTGGGGACAAGGACCCGGAGGGAGGTGACAGGACTTGGGGGGGAACCCCACTGGGGACAAGGACCCGGAGGGAGGTGACAGGACTTGGGGGGGAACCCCACTGGGGACAAGGACCCGGAGGGAGGTGACAGGACTTGGGGGGGAACCCCACTGGGGACAAGGACCCGGAGGGAGGTGACAGGACTTGGGGGGGAACCCCACTGGGGACAAGGACCCGGAGGGAGGTGACAGGACTTGGGGGGGAACCCCACTGGGGACAAGGACCCGGAGGGAGGTGACAGGACTTGGGGGGGAACCCCACTGGGGACAAGGACCCGGAGGGAGGTGACAGGACTTGGGGGGGAACCCCACTGGGGACAAGGACCCGGAGGGAGGTGACAGGACTTGGGGGGGAACCCCACTGGGGACAAGGACCCGGAGGGAGGTGACAGGACTTGGGGGGGAACCCCACTGGGGACAAGGACCCGGAGGGAGGTGACAGGACTTGGGGGGGAACCCCACTGGGGACAAGGACCCGGAGGGAGGTGACAGGACTTGGGGGGGAACCCCACTGGGGACAAGGACCCGGAGGGAGGTGACAGGACTTGGGGGGGAACCCCACTGGGGACAAGGACCCGGAGGGAGGTGACAGGACTTGGGGGGGAACCCCACTGGGGACAAGGACCCGGAGGGAGGTGACAGGACTTGGGGGGGAACCCCACTGGGGACAAGGACCCGGAGGGAGGTGACAGGACTTGGGGGGGAACCCCACTGGGGACAAGGACCCGGAGGGAGGTGACAGGACTTGGGGGGGAACCCCACTGGGGACAAGGACCCGGAGGGAGGTGACAGGACTTGGGGGGGAACCCCACTGGGGACAAGGACCCGGAGGGAGGTGACAGGACTTGGGGGGGAACCCCACTGGGGACAAGGACCCGGAGGGAGGTGACAGGACTTGGGGGGGAACCCCACTGGGGACAAGGACCCGGAGGGAGGTGACAGGACTTGGGGGGGAACCCCACTGGGGACAAGGACCCGGAGGGAGGTGACAGGACTTGGGGGGGAACCCCACTGGGGACAAGGACCCGGAGGGAGGTGACAGGACTTGGGGGGGAACCCCACTGGGGACAAGGACCCGGAGGGAGGTGACAGGACTTGGGGGGGAACCCCACTGGGGACAAGGACCCGGAGGGAGGTGACAGGACTTGGGGGGGAACCCCACTGGGGACAAGGACCCGGAGGGAGGTGACAGGACTTGGGGGGGAACCCCACTGGGGACAAGGACCCGGAGGGAGGTGACAGGACTTGGGGGGGAACCCCACTGGGGACAAGGACCCGGAGGGAGGTGACAGGACTTGGGGGGGAACCCCACTGGGGACAAGGACCCGGAGGGAGGTGACAGGACTTGGGGGGGAACCCCACTGGGGACAAGGACCCGGAGGGAGGTGACAGGACTTGGGGGGGAACCCCACTGGGGACAAGGACCCGGAGGGAGGTGACAGGACTTGGGGGGGAACCCCACTGGGGACAAGGACCCGGAGGGAGGTGACAGGACTTGGGGGGGAACCCCACTGGGGACAAGGACCCGGAGGGAGGTGACAGGACTTGGGGGGGAACCCCACTGGGGACAAGGACCCGGAGGGAGGTGACAGGACTTGGGGGGGAACCCCACTGGGGACAAGGACCCGGAGGGAGGTGACAGGACTTGGGGGGGAACCCCACTGGGGACAAGGACCCGGAGGGAGGTGACAGGACTTGGGGGGGAACCCCACTGGGGACAAGGACCCGGAGGGAGGTGACAGGACTTGGGGGGGAACCCCACTGGGGACAAGGACCCGGAGGGAGGTGACAGGACTTGGGGGGGAACCCCACTGGGGACAAGGACCCGGAGGGAGGTGACAGGACTTGGGGGGGAACCCCACTGGGGACAAGGACCCGGAGGGAGGTGACAGGACTTGGGGGGGAACCCCACTGGGGACAAGGACCCGGAGGGAGGTGACAGGACTTGGGGGGGAACCCCACTGGGGACAAGGACCCGGAGGGAGGTGACAGGACTTGGGGGGGAACCCCACTGGGGACAAGGACCCGGAGGGAGGTGACAGGACTTGGGGGGGAACCCCACTGGGGACAAGGACCCGGAGGGAGGTGACAGGACTTGGGGGGGAACCCCACTGGGGACAAGGACCCGGAGGGAGGTGACAGGACTTGGGGGGGAACCCCACTGGGGACAAGGACCCGGAGGGAGGTGACAGGACTTGGGGGGGAACCCCACTGGGGACAAGGACCCGGAGGGAGGTGACAGGACTTGGGGGGGAACCCCACTGGGGACAAGGACCCGGAGGGAGGTGACAGGACTTGGGGGGGAACCCCACTGGGGACAAGGACCCGGAGGGAGGTGACAGGACTTGGGGGGGAACCCCACTGGGGACAAGGACCCGGAGGGAGGTGACAGGACTTGGGGGGGAACCCCACTGGGGACAAGGACCCGGAGGGAGGTGACAGGACTTGGGGGGGAACCCCACTGGGGACAAGGACCCGGAGGGAGGTGACAGGACTTGGGGGGGAACCCCACTGGGGACAAGGACCCGGAGGGAGGTGACAGGACTTGGGGGGGAACCCCACTGGGGACAAGGACCCGGAGGGAGGTGACAGGACTTGGGGGGGAACCCCACTGGGGACAAGGACCCGGAGGGAGGTGACAGGACTTGGGGGGGAACCCCACTGGGGACAAGGACCCGGAGGGAGGTGACAGGACTTGGGGGGGAACCCCACTGGGGACAAGGACCCGGAGGGAGGTGACAGGACTTGGGGGGGAACCCCACTGGGGACAAGGACCCGGAGGGAGGTGACAGGACTTGGGGGGGAACCCCACTGGGGACAAGGACCCGGAGGGAGGTGACAGGACTTGGGGGGGAACCCCACTGGGGACAAGGACCCGGAGGGAGGTGACAGGACTTGGGGGGGAACCCCACTGGGGACAAGGACCCGGAGGGAGGTGACAGGACTTGGGGGGGAACCCCACTGGGGACAAGGACCCGGAGGGAGGTGACAGGACTTGGGGGGGAACCCCACTGGGGACAAGGACCCGGAGGGAGGTGACAGGACTTGGGGGGGAACCCCACTGGGGACAAGGACCCGGAGGGAGGTGACAGGGACTGGAGGGGACATGGGGGACCCCAGTGGGGACAGGGACCCTGAGGGAGGTGACAAGGACTTGGGGGGAACCCCACTGGGGACAAGGACCCTGAGGAGGGTGACAGGGACTGGAGGAGGCTCTGAAGGGGACACGGGGACCCCAGTGGGGACAGGGACAAGGAGAGGGGTGACAGGGACTGGGGGGGACATGGGGACCCCCGTGGGGACAGGGACAAGCAAGAGGGTGACAGGGACAGGAGGGGGACCCCAGTGGGGACAAGGACCCTGAGGGGGGTGACAGGGACAGGAGGGGACACAAGGATCCCAGTGGGGACAGGGACACTGAGGGAGGCGA